TTGCAACCTTAACAATAACATTTGAATAGGAAAATGATCAAGAATTTTATCAAATCATAATACAAAGTCAACCGAATAAGAATCATTTGATTAAACATGAACAATAAAGAAAAAGGTCATCACAGACAGGTGAGTTAAAGATTACACATAAACTTTGTTGTTTCATGGTCATCGTTAGTCGATAGTATCGTTTCTATGGCTGCTCGTTAGACTTTATGAAAACAAATACTCACAATTAATCGAAGATACATGAGATAAAATGAGACTTACAGAGTAGTAGGTGACTCTTTTTTTCCAAAGAAAAAGAGCGACTAATATGATTTCGTGGTAGAAAGTTCAGTTACTATGTGACCAAGCAGTTTAGATATGTATTTTTCTGATTCAGACACGATTGCTGATTTGAAAATGTTCTGATGGAAGCACTTCACATCTATTTTCCATGTTTTTATATGGCCAGATTATATTTTTCAAGTGGCATAACGAAGTTAAATGTAGGCATATATCTAGTCTGTTAAATTGAATAGGAAGAAATAAAACATAAACTAAAATAGCACTAGAAACAATCAAAGGAAATCAAACAAAAGCAGAGTAAAATTGAAAAAAAGTAAAATGAAAGTGTACAATCATCAAAAACAATACATAGAACTATTTAACAAAAAAATAATAATAATAATAGTGAATCCAAGGACACATTCTAGCATTTTGATACCAGTCATGCAGTTACTTAGCAGTGCTATTTTGAAGTAAAACATGAAGAGAGTTTAATTTCTTCAGAATTCTATAGATATAACGTTAAAAAAAATCATTGCGACCTTGTTCATGCTGGAACAGCAAATCAAATAACAATGCTTACGTATTTCGTTGACGTGGATATTCGACTGGCATTTGTCTCTTAATGTAATCGATCGCTTCTTCAATGCATGCCATTACCTTTGTCATAGTATCTTCGGCGATTTGCTTCGCTCTTAGTTGATTTTTCATAGTCTGAAGTTGTATGCGATTTATTTTAGATTTATTTTTCTTGTCCTTGTGTTTCTGTCGAATTGCTTCAGACCATTTTGTGCCAGTACGGGATTTCACTGATCGAAATTGTCCAACTTCAATGTAATTGCCAATTAGGACGGTAGGTTTCGTTTAAATTCACATTAGTTGACAGAAGAGATGTAACGAACCTCTTTTCAGAAATACATTTCAAGCCTGATCACCGGATGTCACTCCATAATTGCATTGCATTCCTAGAACGATTATGAGAGCGATACATGTTATCGGGATATTTTTAGTATTCGTATTCGTTAATAAAGCGCATTCAAACCTGCCACTGCTTTGAGAAAATAGGTCTTCTTGTTGATTATCTTTCGGAGAATGATCTGAATGTACACCATAGGGCATGATGTTTGTGACTCATCTTGAGACGAAATACAGACATATTGTATGAGTTCATCAAATTCATTTTGGATATGTATCATAATATGTTCTTCTGTTTTAGATAGAAGTACATCATTCATTAGTAGGCTCACTCATGAAACGTATTTTACTTGTCATATTCGAGTGACAGGCAATTGCAAAGGAGTTCTTGTTCAATCGAAATTTCTTTTTCGACTCTTTATATCCTGTCGGAACAGTCAAATTGAATTTGTGTTGTTTTACCAACTCAAATGCATCTAAAAATGAACAATTAGGTAAATTTTACACCTGAATCTCTGGTCATATAATATTTGATGAGTCGTTTGTGGTTACTCTCATTGTCGAATCAGTGCACGTTTTGGAGATAAACGATGATGTCGACAGAGACGATCCATAGTTATCTTGTGGCAAGTAATTTACGATAGGCATTGGATCATCTAAACAACGGTTATTTAGTTGTTATGATAAAATTTAGAAAGAAGAAACTAAATGTCTGTGTTTTTTACTACCTTGATCAGAAGTAATTGGTAATTGAAGAGAGTATTCATAGAACGCATTAGCGCCAAGTGTCACTTGTTCATATGGGAAATCGTTGAGACATTGGTTCATCTGATTTTTATTGAAATTCATGTTTTCATCAACTTTGAATTCTGACACAATATCAATGTTCACATATGCGTCACTTGTATCGATATTATTTAAGAAATTGTACAATGAAGGACTAAAATTAATCGGCTGCAATGGGTCATTTTCGACAGAATTTACAATTACCAACAGTGTGAATAACTTTAATGAGAACAAAACGAAAAAGCATATTTTACTTATATCGATACACTACTGTCAGCCTCGGTAGAACCAGTCTTACCTGGTCATTGCTTAGTTCCATTATTGCTCTCCCATCCCAAGGATCTTCATTTATATTACCTTGATCATCGAAATGATCAGCATCATCCATCATATTCATCTTTAAAGTTGTGAGCATTGGTACCAGATATAAATAACAAAGAATAATCTCTATAAACATAGAAAGATCTAAAAACTAGAGGATAGAAATGAAAAAAAAGGAAGCTTGATATTTGGCGAATATAAAATGATCTAATCGCTGGTGATTCATGTCTGTTTCTAGTTACGAATAGAAATTTCGAAATTATATTCAAAGCACCACACGACGTTTCGTCCTTGCTTAAGGAACTTATTAGGTATGTTTAGAATTTATTATTACATAACAAAATCAAAACTCATTCAAATAAACTGAGAGGTTAAGACTCAGTTCGTAATAATTCTCATTTAATCTCTTCAATTAAATAGAAGATAAGAGTTTAAATTCAAAGCATCACACGATGTTCGTGCCTTTCGACGCTGCCCGTTTTTTTTTTGTTCTTTATTTTCAGTATTTTATTCATTGCGAGAAAGTCTGAGTTCCGATACCACGACAGAAATTTTACAAAAACGAATTTTATTTGTAGTTGTTTTTGTGACGTTGTTTTCATTCTAGTGAAAATAGCTGCCGGTGACTATTTGCATATGAACAAATTTTGTAATGCTCGATTTTTTATCGGGATAAGTTGAATTTTTATTCTATTAACCGGTGAGTCTGCATATTAACAATGTTTTTTCCATTATTTAAGATATTTTTTGAAGAAATTTAGAATTTGGCAGCACTTTTGTCCGGACGACCCACACGGGATTAGTCCAGCTACTGCGATGTATGAATCAACTGAAGTTTATTTGAAAAAAGAAAATTATGAAATTATTTTTGTGTATCAATTGAATAAACAAGCTGTATCATCAATAGATGTATATTTTAAATCGGTCGTTCTTGTTCACGTATTAAAATAAGAATTAGAATACTTGAAATTCATGGAACATGACCGTTTCTATATATACTGAACATCGATCAATTATTTCATATTAAAATTATAACCATTGTTTAAGATTGTCATATTTCTTTTTTTTTATTACTGATGATCGTAGTCTTCATTGCAATTAAGACGAATGCAAATGAAAGTTGCAGTGATAGCAGAAGTAGTAGTAATGGTGCTAAATAATCAACTATCATACATCTATGACTTGAAAAAAGATGAAAAGTTAAATGTATTAGAATGGTACTCATTCGATGTATTGTTTCAGCTGAAATGAATAGTAAAAGCGAAAATCAAGGACATATTTAGGACAAAGAAAGAGAAAGAATTCTGGATTGTATTATTTATCGTTATCAGCTCGATAAATTCGTAAGCTAACGAGTGTGTTGAAGTTACCACAATACTAAGTTAGACAGTATTTCGGTTTTTCAATAAAATCTTACCAAGTGGCAAGTATCCGGAAAGACACTAGAAAATAGGGAGAGTCATCGAATAAAGATTTTAGACAAACAAAAAAATTATTACAAGAATAACTCTTGAACAATTATAATTGAATTGATGCGAGGAAAACATATAGAATAGTTAAAAGCTATCTGAAATTTAAAAAAATGAATTCTAGTATTAGATTCATTATTGGAACATGAAAGTGCTTTAAGAAGATTGCTAAACTAAATTATTATGTAATTGAAAAAGAGCATGCAATAAGTTTTAGTTCGGTTTGAAAAGTTTTTTCCAATAAATGTTTATATGCCATGCTAAATAACATTAATATTCAATGTTGAATTAAACAATAGCATCTGGATTAGATGCCATTGACAAAGTAAATTCTTTATTTTGATCAATTGATTGAGTTTGGGTCAGATCTTGTTGTGATTGCTGTTGTAGTTGATCTAATTGTGGTAAATATTTTCGTTGTTTGTGAAGACGAGACATCAAACATGTTAGAAAAATTGATAAGCAAGGATGAAATCTAGTGAACCCGACATGAGATACTCATATACAAATGATCAACCCAATACATAGACTTATAAGACACAAACTAATTAGATAACACCAAGTTGTGAATAGTACATCAATTTTTAAATAATCATGATGAATATCATTTGTCATATGTATGGTATTGATAGAATTCTCAATTAACTTATCAAGTATCGTATGATAATCATTGGTGATTGATAATAATACATGTAGATTGATCTTCAATGTATTCATATCAGATTGTATTTGTTTATTAGCATTGTCTTTTGCAACGATTGTATATAGATACTGTTTGAATAATTTCTTTATTTCTTCTAAAGTCATTTGACTTTGAAAATGATTGATTTCATTTTCAGATACATTCAAAGTAACCATTTCCTGTGTATCATTTTCATGAAGAGGTAATTCATTGGATAATGCAAATATGCATGGTAAAATGAAACATATATGGAAGAAAGAGTTGAACAACATTTGAAATCTTTTTTCGATGTCTTTTTTATATCTAAAATCATAGAATATTATTGATTTAATTGAATAGAAATGATAAGAAATGAAAAACGAAGATTCAACAAAAACAAAGTAGATTGTGGATGTGGTAAATCAACTACGAACAGATCAACTACAAACAGATCAACACAAACACTAAAGAATAATAATTATCTACTAAATGGTGCATATGGCTGATATTGAATTAAGACGCATTGGTAATCGTGACTATTTCACTTTCAAACGTCACTAAGTCAGTAGTGTCATAGTTCACATCGATGGACGATTCAAATCAGCACACCAAACAAGATCATACGGATGACCATAGCGTTGTTCAGCACCACTATCAATTGGACAAATCATATTCAATTTCGTTTCACCGTGAATAATGAACAATGTTTCGATGATATAACGTAATATAATCGAATAATCATCCAGTACTAGATCAATGGAAAACAAAAAAAAATACAATGAGAATGGATCAAAATAGATTCCACCTACGAACAACAATAATCGCCATTTTATATAAATCCAATGTATCATAAGGCTGTACGTGAATGGAAGAACAGGCAAAGTGTTCGAAAAAAACGCGTTGTTTTTGTAGTTGTGGATATGAGAAAGCATAGGCAGCCGGTGGTAATGGCACATTATCTAGATATTGAGTCACTGGATGATTACTTATGGTAGTCGTTGCCATCACATAAGCAACTTCAGGATCTCTAGTGCAATTTCCTCGGAAGTAAGCAGTATTTTCTGCTAGTGCTTCCTCTCAGCGTAGAGGAATAAAACACCAATAGCTTGGATTACAATCTAGAAATGAAAGAACTGCTACTGGACATCGTGCTGAATGTTGATAGAGACGCATCTTATTAGCGATCTCTTTCCTATAACATAGAAAAATAAGAATAAGTAGTAGTCTAAATGATTGATCATGTGCATCTTTCATTACTCTTGCTCGGTAGGATCAAGTAATGATCCTCGAAAGAGAGGGCTACCAGTCAATTTTTCATGTATAATTCGATTGCCATGTTGTCGATGATCTGTATCATAAGAAGAAGAATCGAAAACATAAAAATGCTCACTCTCGAATAGAATTTTGTACTTACAAGCCATCGCATTCACCAATGTTTTTGCTGTTGAATCGACATAATCATAATGACCACATGGACATGTCATGGCATAGACTACATTCGATGTAGTACATGTCTAAAATTACAATGATAGTTGATCGATATAAAACTAAATATTCCATGACAACATACTGCTGGACAATTGAGATAGGTAGTATAACCATTGAAAAATCGATGCATTGAACTTGAAGTAAAATCAACGATAGGCGATAGTTGACTTTTCTTGTAAGTATGTACTGGAAGACAACATGAACAAAAAAGATCACCGCATGGAACCAATGCATATCTTGTTTGACGTTCATCTCTTCCACAGAATAGACCTTCTATGTTAGATCGAGGTTCAGCTCCTCAAAACGAGCAAGTTTTCATGTCGAATAGGTCCACTGAAAAATATGCCTATGTAGAAAACTATGAAATCATATGCCTAAATGAAAACTGACCATTCATTTGTAGATAGAATTCTAATACCATAGCCATTTGTAGATAGAATTCTAATACCATAGCCATTTGTAGATAGAATTCTAATACCATAGCCATTTGTTTCGAATTGAGTGTTGTCTTTTGATTTGACGATTTTCAATGGCTGTGATAATTGTATCAACGGTGGGTAGTTTAGTAAATTTTTCCCTATTATTCAACATTTTTGTTTTCTCATCAATCGCTTTTTGTTGGTAGGTTTGAGCCATTTCTTCAGCAACAGAAATGGTTCGCATAATTAACTCATTCATGAATGTGTCCATCGATTTAATTTCTTTCACGGTTATATTTGTTGTTAATAATCACTGTTGATCAAAAAGAGGACTTGTCAATATAGAATTGATGTTTGTTAATAATAAATCTTGAAAAGTATAACAGGTTAATGAAGACTCATCAGACAACCACTTTTTGAACATAGCTATCTCATATTTAAGTTTTGTTCATCGTCGGTAGCTTTCCAAATGACCTTTGCTGAATGTATCTAAATAGAATCAAGAGAAGATAGATGATATTAATCGAAGATATATTCACAGACTTCAGTTTGTCTAGGTTTTAATTGATAGAAAGTTTCAACCAATTGATGATCTTTTGCATCGAATTTGAGCATACCTCTCCGTCTTTGGAGTTCAATATATAATTGATATTGATCTTTACAGACTAAATCTATGACGATCACCGTAAGTTTGTTTACATCGACCGATGAAGGTACTTGTTTTAGATGTTCGTAGATTTCACATGCATTGTGTTCAATTTGTTGCTGAAAATACTTTTAGCGTTGTTTAATCAATGTTTTTCCTCGACCATACGTATAGCACATTGAATTAACCATCGCCATTTTTTTCGATACTCGCCGAGTCGAAATACCTTTGGTCATACCAAGATGGTAATAATATGTCCATTGGTCATGTTGTAATTTGAAATAATTTAATTTATTAATGAATTGTGTAAATTGACGAATATATGTCAATGTTTCTTCATTATTAAATAATTCAATTAGAAAATTTCTCCCAATATCTGTTGTGATTATTATTAATAACATTTGTTGAAAATTCTCAGTAGATATCATTAAATAATCAGATAGAAATAAAGTTGGATCGATATTTGATCCAGTAGTTGAAGGATAGTATTTCTTTTTCAATGAAGAGTATAGATATTGATTTATCTTTATTAATTTCTATTATATCTTTCTGTATCGATTGATGCATTATTTCATTTGATATTGTTTTTGTATGTAAATTTGATTTACGATATTTCGTTTTGAAATATTGTACTTTTCGTATATGTTGATCTTTATTGGAATTCATGAGCAATGATGCTTAATATATTTCATCTGAAATTGAAAAGAAAAAAGAAATTGAATTAAGATATTGAATGATGATTAGAGATAAAATAAGAATAAATGAATGTATTTCTTTGTTTTGTGTTTGTCTAACTATTAAAAGAAGTATTCTAATGTTTATATAATGTTCTATCGAAGATTAGGCTGTTGGAGAAAGTTCATTGGGTTTTTTCTAAGACAAGAGAGAAAAACAAACATTCTATTAAATAACATAAAAAATGAGTCAGATCTTTACTTTTGTTGGGTGGTAAATTTTTCAGTAAGGACGAATGTGGATGTTTACGTGCAAGTTCAAATTCCAAGTTTGAATTATTTCGATGGTCGACAATTAATCGAATATCTCCATAATCTGTATTCTTGAAGAAGTTATCATGGATCTCATGTATATGTCGTTGTAAACCTTCAAGTCTTGCCTCATGCGTACAATAAATAAAAATATTCTTTTTGAATTAGTTCTGCTTATCGTTTTTTATTTGTACGTGTTCTTTAATAGTTTTTTCTATCAATCACGGTATCTATTGAAGCTGCACTTTTCGCTACGACTATTTGTGGAATCGACGTTTGTGCCAGTAATTTTTCACGTAAAACAAAAAAGTCTTCTTCATTATCAATGGGTGGTAAGATAGATAAATGTGAAGATCTATATTTCATAAAGAAAGATTGAAATTGTGTATTAATATACGTTGATGGATACCTAGACGAATCAATGATCATTTATTTGATATCAGAAATTAAAACAAAAAGAAAAAGACCTACTCATTTAATAATAGAGTTAAACGAATAGAACGTCGTTCAATATTAAGTGCTTCAAATGTCGATGAATATCGTATAGCTCTCATCAAAGCAGTTTGAATCACATTTCGAAAGACATGTCGAGGATGATCCGACAAAAATGATAAAAGAGATAGTTCCGCTGCTGGTTTATGATAGACGGATGAGAAAAGAATACCATTCTGATTACAAACAAGAACATCCAGAAATGGAACACTCTTGGCGATTGTATAGGTTAATTTAATGTTCGGATGAAATTGATTTGCTGATTCTAACCATTTCTTAACTTTCGTTTCAGATTCATTGCAAGTAAAGAAGATATCATCAATATAACTGTTAAAACAAAACACATGTGATTAAATTAAAATAATTATTAAAATAAAACTAACCGGCCATAAAATTCATGCGCAGGTAATTTTGAAAGAATAGCTTGTCGTTCCCATTTCCACATGAAAATATTTGCCAAAGTTAATGTAAATACTGATCCCATAGCACTACCAATAATTTGCCGACAGAATTTTTTACCATAAACAAAAGCATTGGCTTGAGGTACAATACGACCTAAGTCTAAAATAGTATCAATTGAAATTCCTTGGATTATGTCACAATGGTGTACATGAAGAAATTCAGCAAGTATAACTAAGGATTCTTCTTGTGGTAATATAGTATAAAGATTCGTAATATCAAACGCTACAAAAAGAGTCGATGAATTAAAATATCCATTTTGAATATATTTATGAAGTCGACTAAGAAGATCAACACCATCCACAATCGTCGTATGACGAGCATATCGATCAAATAATGGACGAATTAATTCATCGAGATGTTTAGAAATTTGTGTTGTTGCTGCATGTATGGTATTTATAATGGGTCGAAGTGGTGTTCCTTTCTAAACAATCAATTTTTTTTTCATTGATATATGCAAAATACTGATGATATTAATCACGATTACCTTATGTGATTTATGAAGAAAATACATATAGGCTAATTCTATCTTATTTCGAATAGGCATCATCTTTAATTTTTGCGGTACACTTATTTTATTGGCGGAACGTAATTTATTTAATAATTGAATCACTTGATAAAATATTTCATCCAATGGATTGGATGTTAATTCTTCGTGAGCACCTGTTTTTTCTCGATATTCCATAGCTTTTCGTTCATAATCACGAGCATGACCGATATGAAGTACACCACTTTTGTCTGTTTCACGTAGAACAAGTTTATAGTTCTTTAATTTCCGTCGAATAGATTTGTCTAGTTTTAATTCTCGTCGTGCACGTAATTGATCCATCAAAGGTAATGGAATCATATAACGACAAAGAAGATAGGTGCGAAGACGTTCTGAATAGAATTTATACATTGGTACTGTTGTCGGTATTTTAGATCGTCCATCATAGACATTAGCCATATAATTCTTGACTTTGTTGATAATATCATTCATTTTCTTGTCAACTTGTTTTTCTCGTTGACCAGATGGACGAAGTGCACTTTGATTAGGTCTTATATAAGTTGGACCTAAATAGAATAATGAACATGATCAAAAAGAAAACAAACCATAATAAGAAAAAGAAATTAATTGAACCTCTTGAAAGATAAGCTAATTCAGCAACAGTAAATGGATGACGAATAAGATCAAGAATAATTATCGGAGCAATTGTCACTAGGTTTTTCTTTGTTGGTTTTAAACGTCGACGAAGTCGTACGAATTTTCTTCGGTAAACTGGTAATTTTTCATAATAAATCTCTTGTTTCAATCTATGGATTCGATGACCGATATAAAGAAGAAAACAATTGAATAGAGTTGTGTCATTCGTATCGATATGAGTTGAACTAATGAATTCGAATTGCTTTAAATCTTGTTGATATTGATGTTCATATTCTTGATATTTCTTTTCATGTGCATCAACATTAATATTTAACCATGTACGTTTTGCTTCTTGTATAATTTTATATTGTTGTTGTTTCACAAGGGGGAATCGGCGGATTTCGGATTTCCGGGATTGCCGGGATTTCCATGGGATTGCCGGGATTTCCATGGGATTGCCGGGATTTCTATGAGATTGCCGGGATTTCGATGAGATTGCCGGGATTTCCATGGAATTCCCACGATTTCCATGGGATTCCCATAAAATTCCAAAGTTTTCTATAGGGTTTCTGTCGATTTTTAAAAGATTTTTAGGATTTCCATAGAAGTTTCGCGGAGTCTCATTGTTATTCTAGAAGTTTCATCGTATTTAGACGCCTCTCGTGTAACTAGTACAATCAATCGCCGTAAAGCTGAAAATCTCATAGAGCTTAGGGAAAAATCACCGGATGAAATAGTCATAAATCCCTTTTTCAAATAGTTTAAAAATCCATTGCCATCCTATGCCCCAAATACATAACCCTCTCAGATGGACGTCAAGGCGTCTGAAATAAAAGAGGAGTTTATTATTTCAACTTTTATTGAAAAAAGATCAATACAAAACAACAAAAGAAAAACATTAACAAGAGAAATTTAAAAAAAAGAAAGTCGTTAACAAGTAAAAAAAACCAAAGAAAACAAGCAAAACGTTAAGAAGAAAAATGAAATAATAAATAAGAAAGCTGTTAACAAGAAAAATGAAATAACAAATAGAACAATAATGTCTTTTGCATAAACTTAGTGGCTCCTATATAACTTTTTATTCATCTACTCGACTGCTGAACACGCTTAAGTCGATCAGCTGACTGAAAAGCCTTTTGGTCTGTTAAAAGCCAGCAGGCTGTCTGTTTATGCATTTACTTTTTTTTACCGTCGATTTCAACTGAAAAATAGCATTTGGAAAGTGAAGAAGGAATAGTATCAACGACTCTCATTCCATGAAAGTGAGATTTACCGTTTGCTGAAAAAGAAGACATGTTATCAGTTTCGTCTTCAGACGAACTAGATTCTTGTGATTTCGATAATAAATTAGCATCATATTTTAAGTTGTAGCTTGATTCCTCATCATCATCAGAAGTATAGTTAACACTACCATCAACTGAGATCACTTTGAGTTTTTTTTCAAATTGTGCTCTCACAAACGAGCTAACTTCTTCCATTGTATTTTTTTTTCTTTTTTTCCAAAGCAATATTCACATCAAGTTGAGAGAGAAGATGATAGGCATGATCAAAAGCGCGATCAATAGTCGCTTTAATATTATCATAGCTTAGACTATCGTTGGATAGACTTAAGTGTGATCTTTTCGAAGCAGAATCTTTTCGTCGTCGTTTATGATGTTTTGGAAACTGTAATGAACAACTTAGTTGGCCAGACTCACTCTTGTTCTCCAGCTCGGTTAACACAGAGAGCTTACCAGCACGTTTGAGAAATTGTTCAGTCGTGAAATTTACTACTGAAGAAAAGGCTCCTGACATCGATCTCGTAAGCCGAAAAGTAGCCTCGCATGATTGCGAATTATAGTTTGATATTGATAGAGCAGATTCAGGCAAGTCATGTTGCATTACGAGAAGACAAATTGGCAGCAAACTGTGAGCATTAAGCTCGATTGAAAAATGTGCAGGAGTAGTGATAAATAAGTCCTTTTTTTTCCTTTCGGAAAGATATCTGGAGATATCCTCTTTGTCAACTATATGCAGCCAAGTTTGCCATATGCGACACAAAAACACTGCCAACCAGCTATGATATATTCGATCAATAATAGATGTATCATGCTCTATATAAGCTAAAACGATGCTACGCAACAGTTGCAAATAAACTTGTGTAGCTTGAGAACCCTGAATATCCTCCAGAGCAATGATTACTGAATCGCTTGACAGCTTGAAGCAAGATTTGAAATTCTGTCTATCTTTTGGCTCTATATCCGTTTTAACAAGTCCATGCACAAATTTAGATTTAGTCTGAATTAGTGTCATCAAAACTTCGGTGGAAACTTCTTCCTTTCCAATCAACATCGATGCGATGTCAGAAAGCATACGATTACGAAGTTTAGTGCACAAATGTGTTGGATCTTGTAAGCAAAAAAAATATTGACTAGTTTTCATGAAAAACCAGTTTGACCATTCTTTTGGTAACTCAAACCGAAGTTCATCATTTTGATTACTTATCCTATTATTAGCAAGCTTTGCGAAAAAGCCTGTAGCCAAACGCATCGCAAGCAAATATCTAGGATCGCAATCAGTTGAAAAAGCAACAACACGAACATTCGACTGTCGAGACTTTTTTAATATCCATAGCCATCGATTAAGAACATCAATGGCTGTAAATGTGTTACTGATGCCATATGAAGCCAATAAAAATGGCGATGAATATGGATTAGATGCTATGAGTGGCTGAACCATATGAACATTTAAACAATTAGATTTTTCTTTATTTTCAAACCAATATTTTAACTGATCAAAAGAATCAGTTTGGTAGTGACGACAAATAGGAATGCCACGTTCTAATGGAGTAGAAAATCCAGTGAAAGTGTTAGTGGCTGCACTATAAATAATTTTCTGCATGACTGCAGTCGAATCTTCAGAACAAACAGCTACCTGATAGCCACATAGGTTTTGATGATGATGAAGCAAATCGTATCGAAATTCAGCTTCTTCAATGCCCACACCAGCTTTCTCAAGGCTAGCGTTCAACGTTGACAATGCAGGAAGAGCACCCGGCAAATTCAGCCGGACGAATTCATATACATTTCTCCCTCCTAAAATGAACAATGATTGTGCGAAATTTAGCACAGCTTCACTATATCGATAATTATTTTTATTTTTCAAAAGATTGCTCGAAATATTTTCAACAAAAGCTATTAAAAATGAATAGCTACTTTGTGAATCACTACCGTCATTCATGCGATGTTTTTTTATTAACATTTGCAACAAAGAACAAATATTATTTGCAGTAGCTGTAGATTCTTCTTGCTGATCCTTATTCTGATCCTTTACAGCATGAAGAGCTTCCATAAAACGATTGAAATCCATCAGTAATCCTGGTTTGAGCATAATGGTACCATCATCTAGATGAAGACATGCTCTTTGTGTTATTTTTTCTAATTCACGATAGTTCTTCTGGAAAACAGAGAGAATATCCTTTTCAGCCAGCAGTAATTTGTATACTGTATTGATAGAAAGTACTTCCATCAATTCTTTAAAAACGTCTCCACATGTTCTACGAACCAGCTCGAAAAAAAATTCTCCCTCGAAAGAAAGAACATTTTCAGGCAAAGCAAGATGCGGAAATGTTCGTAACATTTCTTTTATTGTTCTGAAAGAAACAATAGAAGATATACTATAACTGTGCGTATGTTGTCTATAATAATAAAAAGTTAGTTTGTTTGAATGTAGATTTGTGACAAATGAAGAAGTTGATCAAGATCGGTTATATATATATACATATATATATGTAGGAAGGGAGAGAAGAAAGAGGAAAGAGGAAAGAGAAAAGAGAAAAGAGGAAAGAAAAAAAGAGAGAGTTCATTTCCTGTGACCGAGAAACAGAACAAGTTTATCAATTTCAACTATATGCATTGTTTTATTTGAACTCAATACAAATTTCTTTCTCTTTCGTAATTGTCTGACCGTTGGTAGTTTGTCAACAATATCTTGTTCGTTATGTAAATGATTCATAATAGTGGATTGAGATAAGAACTAAATAGAAATATCTAGACAAATTTATTAGGAATGAATATAATTTGATCAAGGTGCAAACGAATCAACATATCATAATTTAGTTGCACTTTTTCTCTGTCAACATATACCACTTAATTATATTGAAATGAGATTATTCAACATATTGCAAAAGAAATCAATTAATTGAGTTCAAACAATGAAGAATTGTATGTAATCAGTGAATTCTCCTAATATTAAACATAGAGATTGCTCTATGCTATTGTATTATCTGAACTTTTCATTTGATTCATTTTATTGAAAAAAATCTATACATATGCATAAAATATCAATCATTTCATAGAAAAATAAAAAAACAAAATAATCTCTACTGTTTAAAAAATTTCATCTATTAAAATAAATAGTTATTTACATGAATTGAAAAAAATATGTTTGATTAATTTCAAAGACGTTGTCGTTTCGAAAATTTTTTGTTTTGCTGACTAGCTGAACGTTTAACTGATTCCCCAGTATTATTAGAAGCATCAGTCGAAATATTTGAAGATATAAATTGTGTATTTTCTTTCATGGAAGTATTAACTGGTGTTTCATCATCCAAGGATTCACAACCATCCGTTATGTTCGAATCATCAGCAACATTGCAGCTCATTGATTTTTTCTTTATTATCATAGAACAATTTTTGGATTTGAGGTGCTTCTAATAATTACTTAAACAGAAGTTTTCTCGAACTTTTGTTAACTTTACTTTGACTCCACATGAACAGGCAATGCAAGCTTGATCTGACCATTCATTAGAAGAAATAAATAGCTGATAATCTTCATTTACTACTAATTGGTCTTTCAAGATGTTCATTACATGATAATTTTTTTTATACCATTCATTTAAAACACGAACGATCAAGGTATGGTGGTTGTTAGGGTGATGTCGCACCTATACATTTATATATCTTATGACCTTCCTCCACTATCTTTCATCTAACTTTATCTCTTTCATCTCTATTGGTACTGTTATTCTTTCGTTCTGTTATGGTGTCTGGTTTTGTTGTTTGTTTTAAAAAGGACATTCCTTAAGTAATAAAGTTGGTGCTTAAAATATCAGTGCATCAAAAAACTAACATCTTAAAAGATAAACAACATTAGGACCATAAATAAAATCCTAATATTTGGCGACCCTTGGCAAACAATATCTACATCAATAAAGAAGGAAATAAAAATACAAATAAAATTATTATTTGATTAAATTAATTATCAAAAAAAAAAAAAAAAAAAAAAAAATAGAGCCTTTTAAAAGAAAAAGACTCGAATTGTTATTCAAAATTGAATTTTCGTTTTGGTTCATATAAAACAAGCAATTATTCTTATTATTAGGTGAGAAATTTTTTTTCTATTCTATATTATTATTCATTATCAGCATAAGGTATACCTATAAGTAAACCGTTTCTTTGAAAAAATTCTAATTAAAAGGAGGGGGAATCAAACTAAAGTTGCTCTAAGCTGATAATCAATTCATCATACCAAACAGAGATTCTATAAAGAGAATTTCGTTCATAAATTTAACTATCATAATTCATTTATTCATTGCTTATTTATTCATCGTTATATTAATTATCATAATTAAAATACATTTATCACGGCTACCGGAACAAGATTTCAAGTTAAGAAAAATAATAGCAAATTATTCCCATATACCATTATTACACATTCAAAGTCTCATACATCTTCACATACTGATTCAATTGAAACAGAAACATTAGAAACTAATATACGTGAAATGGCCGATCAAATACTATTAGCAAAAGCTCGTAAAGCACGATTTGATGATTTACCAAATTTTTCTGGACATCCTTCTGAGGATGTCGAACGATTTTTAAAAAGCATTAAAAATATTACAAAAGCAAAGGATGAATCAGACAATCACGAAATTCTCGAAATCGTTCGTGGTAAATTAACACAATCTGCTGGATTATGGTTCGATAATAATGAACATAATTTTAAAAAATGGTCAGATTTTGAATTACAATTTCGAAATCGTTATTTTTCAACTACAATGATTCATAAAAAATTTGATAAATTAAAACAACGAACGCAATCACATGATGAATCAGTTACATATTACATTGATGATGTTATTAATTTATGCCGAGAAATTGATCCATATATGTCCGACTCAATTATTATTCAACATTTAATGAGTGGACTTAATCCTGATTTTAGAAAAGAACTTTCTCGACGGGAATCATGTATGAACACTTTAACTGAATTTTTAAAATACGCCAAAATTGAACAAGACTTATATGATACCTTTGAAAAATCTCGTCAACTATCAATCGAATCTCAACAACCTAATTTTACAATTAATCATCAACAAATTCCTTCATTTACAGCTATGATTAAACAACCGAAGCAGCATTATTATTGTACAAAAAACAATGATTATTCACGTCCTTCTTTACAACAGAGCTCTGGTTTTCAGCAGAACTCGATTCGTCAATATGATATTCGATCCAAAATGACACCAAATACAAAAACTCGAAACAATTCACAACGAATTACATTTGATAATAACCAATATAATAATCAATTACCATTACAACATAAATTTAATAATTGCAAAATTTGCAGTCGAAACAATCACCGAACTATAGATTGTTTTTATAAACATACAACTGGATGTTATAATTGTGGAAAAAATCATAATGTCCGTGATTGTACGTTACCTCCAAATTTTCAATAACTGGGTCACATGATGGCGGTGTTCCCAGTAAATTTATAAAGCCATCAACAATAACATCATTTCCCGTTTACATCAATATTCGTGTTAATAATCAACCAACTGAAGCAATTGTTGATACAGGATCCGCCATCTCAATCATTCGTCTCAATTTTCTTAAAACTATCAATCATAACAATTTTATACATAAAACTCGTACATGTCAAACAGCAAATTCAACAGCTCTTAACATTATTGGTCAAATTAAATTGGAAATAAAAATTAAATCCATAACAACTTATGTTACTACTTATGTTGCAACAAATTTAATTACATCAATTCTGTTAGGCAATGATTGGATTAATTCAAATCATGTTCACCTTTTTGGGGACCAGAACAAATTAACTATTCCTGATCAACATAGCCAATTAATATCAATTCCATATGTACAACCCACGTCTATTGATTATCCAGCATTATTAGTTCATCAAATTTCTCTTCCTCCATATTCACAAAAATTGGTTGATATTAAATGTCAAGTCAACAATGCTAACAATCTGATATTCGAACCATATGAACGTCATATATCAAAATTTATTTTCATACCACATACATTATTAAATATTAACAAAAATCAAGCCAAAATATTATTAATAAATGCCCAAGATCGACAACAAATATTATCAAAAAATACACGAATCGGTACCCTTTCTCGCGACACAACCTTCTCGATATATACAACATCACAAGCTCCAACAAAAAGTAATTCGTTTTTAAATAAAAATCGTCAATTATTATCTCAAAATTTGAAAAAATTAAACAACAGAGCGGTCTTAAATACAAAAGACAACTCGAATTCAGCCAAATTAAATACTTACTGTCACCGTTGCAATGAATATTTTTTATCTGGAAATGATTTGCAAAAACATTTACGAGCCGAATGCTATTCCGAACAGATTCGAAAACAAATACTCGAATCGACTAAACATATAGAAAATCGAAAACATCAATTAGCAATTCAAGATATTTTATGGCGAAATAAAATATTATTTGATCCTACACCATCAATTATTAATATTCCTCCACAATCCGCAATTAGAACTGGTGATCATCCACCTATTTACTCGAAACAATATCCTGCTTCATATAAAGATCAAGATATTAAATTTCAAGAAACACAAAAATTATTAGAACGCGGTCAGATTGAAGAATCAACCTCTCCATGGTCATCACCTATTGTTCTAGTCAAGAAAAAAGACAAAACAATGCGATTTTGCATTGATTATCGACGATTAAATGCTATTACAATTAAGGATGCATCTCCATTACCTCGTATTGATGAAATTTTTGATCAATTATCCGATGCAATATATTACACAAAATTTGATTTTAAATCTGGTTATTTCCAGGTACCTCTATCGAAAGAGGACCGACCAAAAACTGCATTTTCAACTCGTGATAATCATTATCAATTTACGGTCTTACCTCAAGGAATTACAAATGGACCAGCAACATTTCAACGTGTAATTAATCACATATTAGGACCCGCACGATGGAGATATGCATTAGCTTATATTGACGATATAATTATATATTCGAAAACATTCGAAGAACATTTAAAACATCTTAATGAAATTTGCACAATATTAAAAAATGCTCGATTTCGTCTTAATCCCGATAAATGTGAAATTGCCCGAACACAAACCGATTATCTTGGACATAATATTAAAAAGGGTGAAATTCGTCCAAGTCCTCATAATATTAATGGTTTATTAAACACGAGATTACCACAAACTGCAGATGAAGCTTGCAAATTTGTCAAAGCAGCTGAATATTATCGCAAATTTATTCCCAAATTTTCTCAAATCGCTGAACCACTTAGGAAATTCGTTCCAACTACAAGAACTCAACAAAAGAAAGGACAAAAAACAATCATTACATTAACCCAAAATGAAATTCAAGCATTCGAACAACTTAAACATTTTCTTACAACCGACTTAGTGTTACGATTACCGAACAATAGATTCCCTTTCAAGGTCCAAACGGATGCTTCAGATGAGGGAATCGGTGCAGTACTCTTACAAAATTATCCAGATGGTGATAGACCGATTGCATATCTTTCGAAGAAATTTACACAAGCACAACGTAAATGGTCTCCAATGGAACAAGAATGTTATGCATTTATATGTGCATTAGATAAATGGCATAATTATTTAAGTGGAATTAACTTTACTTGGGAAACTGATCATAAAGCACTCACACAATTAAATCAAAAAGCTCAAGTTAATAAACGATGTGAAAGATGGAGATTAAAAATTTTAGAATATGATTTCAAGGTGAAATACATTCCAGGTTTAACAAATTCTATGCCTGATTATTTATCAAGATCTCCAGTTGACGACGCTGAAGAAGATCCTGATGAAACTACACATCTTATTTCACAGTCCACACAAACTGATCTTTTATATGACAACAAAAATTCACCGATTATTGCAGCTGTTCAAACTCGTGCTATGAAATTACGGAATCAAAATTCGGATAATACAAATGATACAAATGATATAACAAAATTAACATCGGATTCTCTAATCCCTAATTTATCAAATTTATCATCAAATACGTCCACAACAGAGAATCGTATACTTCCGCTTTCAATTAAAGAATTAATTCAAGCTCAACAAAATGATAATTATGCAACAAATATTCTGAACAATATCAAGAAATATAAAAATTATATGATAAAAGATAATCTTTTAATGCGTCGATGTAAATATCCAGTTCCTTATGTACCACAAGGTGATCTTCGACGAACGATTTTACACATATATCATGATACAACAGCAAACGGTGCTCATTTTGGAAGAAATAAAACTTTACATAAAATTAAACAACGTTATTTTTGGCCATCTATGTATAAAGATATTGAAAATTATATTAAATCATGTATTCAATGTGCACAATTTAATCCTCGTCGTCAAAAAACTCCTGGTGCTTTAAGACCGATTAAACCTCCTGATGGAGTTTGGCAATTAGTATCAATGGATTTTCATGGACCGATTACTCCAACATCACAACGTGGGAATAAATATATTATATCTCTCACCGATGTTTTATCAAAATTCGTCGTTACAAAAGCTGTACGTGATAACACAACTCAAACAGCTGTTCGATTTCTTAAAGAGGATATTATTTCAAAATTCGGAACACCTCGTTGTATTCTTACTGATAATGGAACACATTTTACATCAACAATGATGGATGAATTAATTAAACAAATTGGAACAACACATCTTTATTCAACACCTTATCATCCGCAAACCAATGGTCAAGTTGAACGATACAATTCAACAATGGATGCGAAGATCGCAGCATTATCAAATTTAAGAAAAACCGATTGGGATGATCAATTACCATTTGTTACATTTAACTATAATGCTTCAATTCATTCATCAACAAAACAAATACCATTCGAAATGATGTATGGTCGATTACCTGTTTTACCATTCGATCATCAAGATGTAAATGTTACACTTACATATGATTCAGAACATGCAAAAAAGCTTCAATATTTTTTATCAAAATTAAATGAACAAGCTAAACTCAATATTATAAAAAATCAACAACGATATAAACAACGATATGATATAAACCGTTCTGATCCATCATACAATATTGGTGATTTAGTCCTCGTTAAAACACTCAGCATTCGTTATAAGTTCGACATTCGTTATGAAGGACCATTTAGAATTATTAAAAAACTTACATCGAAGACATTTATTATTCAACACGTCAAGAAACAAACATTATATCGTCAAGTTACAACTGACGTGTTGCTTCCAATATTCGAACGAATTTATTAACTTTAGGACCTCTCTGATGAAGAGATCCGTATTATTAATTAATATCTCAATTAAAATGGAATGATTAATTATTATTAGATTGGTCTAATCCATTATAATTTAGCATAGCACGACCGGGGAGTGTGAGTTTCCCCCACTCACTGATTGTGAAGGGTTGTTATATTGAATTAGAACATTTTTTATATATAATTAATTATTCTATGATACGAACATTAATATGATTTATATTGGATTACTCTTGGATTCTTACCTAGGCACTGAGAATCGTAAAGGATCCATTATTTCATAATTTATTCGTACCGAGATATTAAACAACTACTGAATTTGATTTTTGTTCATTCTTTAAATTTGTTAGACTACAACATGTGTATATGTAAATTTTTTTTCCATTTCTTTATGTGATGAATAACCAATAGATTCATATTTCCTATAAGAATCGTTCAATTATACTTATAGATGCACTATCAAATTAATCGATATTCATTAAATATATTTATTTTATTTTATAGCTATGCTTTCACAAGACGAATACAACGATATTCAATGCCAGCTTAATAATATACCATCATATATTACTGGTCAACATCGTCAAAATTATAAACGATCATTACGACAGAAGCTTAAAGAACATAAATATGCATCTACACTCGAACCATTTGAACCATTACCACACTTTACCTATTTTATAAATCGAACAACAACCACCGAAATATTAACACAAATTTTTCAAACAACATCAACATCAATTGAATTTACATTAGATACTGAATCAATTACTATATATAAACAAAAAAATAAACCGGTTTTGATACAAATTCAAATTTTATTACCATGTACTTTTTCTATGATTCTTATATTTGAAATGTGTCATTTACCTCATGAACATGAAGTAACATTCCAATTAATAAAAAATATATTTAAAATAATTTTTAGTGAAAATAAAAAAGTGTACATCTGGGGAACAGAAGATGAATTACTTCCTTTCACAACATATAATTTATTTTCTGAAGAACAAATTCTTTCAAAAAAATTTATTAATCTACAAGGTAAATTTCAACAGATATGGCAACAACAACATCCGCATAAATCAACATCTTTATCCGATACACATACACAATGCTTATGTGAGCAATGTATTGGAAAAAAGGCTACTGAAACATGGTCATTGCAGGAGGCCGTTGCCTATATATTACATGAATGGTTAGATAAACGATTAACAATTTCATCATTTCATATTGGGTTGGATCCTCTGTTATTTCAAATGAATATTCACGAAAAAGAGGATCGTAGAAAATTAACTCAATATGCCATACATGATTGTTTATCTATGCAACGTATTCTTATTAAATTAGGACTAATTAAGAAACAAGACAAAATACTACCAGCTATATCAACCACAACAATTAATAATACTTCTACTATAATTTATAACAACAAAAATAATCATAATAATATTACAGATATCGAAGAAATATCATCAGATGATAATGAACCTTATGAACTACAACAATCAAATCGAACAATATCAATTATAACAACATCAATCAAAGAAACAACAAATAATAATCTAAATCAAATTGAACTTATATCATCCGATGATGAAGATCATAAATTACAACATGAACAACAACCGATATTATTCATTTCTAATAATTCTTCTACTAATACTAAAGAAGACTATAATCCATTAAGTCGGGAACAACGGAAGAAAATTCACAATCGAACCTGTACACTTAAACAACGGAAAAAATATTATCGACATGAAATTATAAAGCACAATATTGATCATCGATTTACAATTACAAACATCAAGACAATTCTTCGACAACATTCTGTTCAATTTTACGCCATCAACACCATCAAATCACCAAGAACAAATCAAACGACTCTATATATTGGAATAAAAAATGAAAATCTATTATCAACATATGAAGAAAAACTTAAACATTTATTACTCAGGAACACTATCAACAATATAAACATACACATAGATCATCTAATAAAGATGATCGATATATACATCATAATCATCAACGAACTAGTCGAACATGATTCTGATACAGTATTAAATGTTATGAATCTAGTCATTCATTTTTCTCTCTTTTATATATCTATATTTCATTTAATCGTTATATATTGTGTTAACTGTCTATATCCATGAAACCGTTATGACCTTTTTGTTTTCATTTCGTTATATTCATTCATATTCATTTATTTTTTTGATTTTTCTATTGTTGATTTATATAAATCTATTGAACTTAACCGTTACATTTTTTTTTTTCGTTTAATTCGTTATTTCTTTTTGTTTCATTTCTATATCTCGACATGTCTTAGTCATATAAAAATGTTGATAGGACACATTTTTTTGTCCAGTAGGGGAGTATGTTAGGGTGATGTCGCACCTATACATATATATATCTTATGATCTTCCTCCACTATCTTTCATCTAACTTTATCTCTATTGGTACTGTTGTTCTTTCGTTCTGATATGTTGTCTTTTTGTTTTTGTTGTTTGTTTTGAAAAAGACATTCCTTTTCGTAATAAAGTTGGTGCATAAAATATCAGTGCATCAAAAAACTAACATCTTAAAAGATGAACAACATTAGGATCATAAATAAAATCCTAATAATCACTTATGTTCAATCCAACTTTATTGTTGCGAACAGGGGGTATATATATATAGAGTGGTTTAAGAATTCATAGAAGTTACTAGAAGTTCATGGAAAGTCAAGAACTCACTAGAGAGTGCTAAAGAACTCACAAGAAACACATAGAAGGAGAGAGATAGAGAAGGAATATACATGAACATACTAGAAGGCGAACCTATATCCATTCATGTATAACAAAAGAACGCAAGAAGGTATAGATCGATACACATATATATATGACGTCACAACAATCATAGGAACGAAGATGATACGTGAGAGGACGCTACCTAACAAAAATCTAAACTTTCCCACTAATCTATCAAAAGAACACCAAAATGTACAGCAAAAGAAATTTTATTTTCGAATAAGATTTTTTTGAAAATTAGGTTTTTAGTACTGATGAGGCTGTAGGTGTGGGTGTGGGGTGTGCGGGTGTTAATTACTGAAGATATAGATTTAAAGCAGAATACGACGTTTTTCTAACCTCGCTAAAGGGTTCAATCATCAGGTGTCTCTAGAGCCTTCAGCTACAGGTAAAATTTTAAACTATATATTAAGTTAGGAATACTCCTTAGTATTTAAGGGTGTTAGAATGTTTTGTAGATTTCAAACTGCAACGACGTGTTTCGACTGTTGTTTTAGCAGTCATCATCAGGTAGGTTAGAAATCTTTACTGTATAGATATAACATAATTAAAATCGTAATCTTTCACAAAACTGTTTAATATTGAGCTAATAGTTTATGGGAATTCAAATAATTTTTTCGAACAAAGAGTGAAACTGATCAATGAAGGGAGAAAACAGATTCTGCTTGATCTGACGTAATAAAAACCTTCCCTCTCTATGAACCGATGACAGATTCCACTACGGTTCTTAAAACGTATTATAGACATGCAGGTACACACAGACACATCGACAGACAAAATACATAATTACCGTTTGACAGACCCTATCCTTTCAGTCTAGGGAGCAAATGCTTCCTTTGATTTCATCGTCAAGCCTGAGGCAATTTTCATGGTCTATTTCACATTCGTTCTCTTTCTAAAAACCACGCTAACGATCACTTTTATTTGATCACATTCACATTTACATCTTACAAATGCAACTTGAGGGTTAATAGATGAATAAAATACAAGAAAAACGTTCGGAAGAGTATCAAACTCTATCGTTGTTATCAGGAACGCCATTGTTAACTGAACCAATTGCTATAGACAATAATCTTGCTCAGTTATGTATACGATCGACAACATTAGAATGTATCGAGCCGTACGATAATAATGTTCACATCCTTTGGTTAACCAATGAAGATAAACTTGAAGCTGAATCATTAAATGGTATGAATGTTAGGATATACCATTCGAATAATGATCTTATTGATTCAATTAGTGAATTACAAACATCATATGTATTTTTAATCATCGATTATGAACTAGTAACAAATATTTTATCGTTTTTGGATGATTTCACTCAAATTGAATTTATCTATGTATTAACAAAGCAACGTAGCACAAATACTGCACTGATAACCGATTCGAAAAGATCAATTCGTAAAATTTCTAATAATAAAAGCAAACTTTTTCGATTGATTACTGAAGATATTGATATATGTACTAAAGATTTAATATTTTCAACTGTCTTTGACCTCACAACAGCAGAAGAATCGACAATGCAAACTCAGAATGCGTCATTCATTTGGCATTATTTGTTAATCGAAAGTTTATTTGATTCGACTGTTTATAATGACACCGCTAAAAAGGATTTAATTGAATATTGTCGTCAACAAATTTCACTTGAAAATATTCAAGAACAAGAGTCGATAAATAAGTTTGAACAAAACTATGTATCAGAAGATGCTATTAAATGGTACACAGACTCTAAATTTATTTTTCGAGAATTGAATAAAGCTTTACGATTGCGAGACATCGATGCGATTTTTAAGTTTCGATTTTTTATGATTGACTTCCAGAAGCAACTTGAACAACACTATGATGAAGAGATTATGCAATCAGTTCAAACTGTTTATCGTGGTCAAGAAATATCTCCATTAGAATTAACTAAATTAAAGAATAGTATTCACAAATATATTTCCTTTAATACGTATGTATCAACAACTATAGATGAAAAAGTTGCTTCGATCTATGCCGGTGGACCATCGTCTGTTTTACTTGAAATCGAAATGGGTTCTCCTATATACCTAAAAAATAAACGGATTCGTCCAGTATATGTTCAAGATAAAAGTAAGTTTCAAGACGAATTAGAAGTGATTTTTCCGATTGGTTCAACTTTTCTACTTGACTCAATTGAAATGAAGAATAATCAATGGAATATTAGATTAAAATTAACGAATGAGGCTGATTATGACCATATGATTGATTTAATTCAGAGAGTTTATATGAAGAACATGCCTCCAAAATTGAAATTTGCGGAGCTAATTTTATCGTTAGGTGATATCCAGAAAGGTGAACGTTATATAAAAATGTTAATAGAAGATCTCGAATTGTCTGCTGATAAAGTGAACATAGGATATGCTTATAATATCATGGGTCAAGTTTGCCTTGAAACAGGTGATAATCAATGTGCTCTATCTTATTTCGAAAAAGCATTAAAAAATCAACCAGAAAATAGATATCCGGTAAATATATATTGTAATCTCGGCAACTTATATCGTGAAAAGAATGAATATACCATTGCTTTAGAATATCTGAATGAAGCATTGAAACATAAACAAGAAATAGATTTATTAGAGTTAGCTCATTTATACGACATGTTCGCCAATATCTATAGGGAAATGGGAAATTTTGATGAAGCTCTCTATTATGTAAACCAATCGTTAGATATACGTCAACCAAATAGAACTGCTCATCATGGCGATTGGATTACATATTGTTCTATTGCATTGATACATGCAGCAAAAAGTGACTACACTGAATCTCTTCAATATCTCAGACGTGCACTAAATATTGCATCGGAGATATTACCAAAAACTCACCCATCTTTCATTTATTTATATGCTTTTACAGGTTTCATGTGTTTCGAATGCCAGGATTCATCACTAGCGATGAAATATCTCCGAAAAGCTGTCAATTTAATACAAACCACTCAACCAGGACAAAATTTTAATCGATTTATATACATATTTGTTTGGAATCTATGTGCTCAGTTATATAATACCAGTATGAATACAACAAATGCATTTTATTACGCACAAGAAGCGCTCCAAGTTTATAATCAGCTTCAAAATCTAATACCAAAAAGTTCTGTTGTCGGAAGAAGTATCCAAATAAATTTGGGTCTCGCTTATCTAAGGCGTTGTGATTATGAATACGCATTAGAGTCTTTCAAGAAAGCTTTAGATCTTTCGAAAAGCATCAATGATCAAATGTCCACGCTCTTTCTTATTGGAAAAGTTTACTTTGATCAAGGTTATCTAGAAAACGCTTTGCACTGTTTTGAAGAATCGGTTCAGCTCAACCCTAAAACGAGTCAATCAATTGTCGATGATGATACAGCTTATTGGATTTATATTTATATGTCTGATGTGTATAAGTATAAAAACGATTTGGATAAATCTATATTTTATGTTAAAGAAGCACAACGACTACAAATGGATAAAACGAACACAGATTTTCGTTATATTGCTCAATGTTATACAAGGTTGATGGATTTATGCCCGAAGCAAAAGAAAACATATATTGAAGAAATTCTCAATATTGTACAAACACATGATTTACCGATTAGTGCAAGATTTTATTGCTATTCTATCATTGGGAGTTATTACTATACAGAAAATGACTTTGCTAATGCACTTCATTATTATAAATCATCTCTGAAATATCAATTAATGAGTTTTCCGCCATGTTATCAAGAGTTAATCTATACATATGCACATATAGGCCACATATACAAAGAGAGGCACGGAGAAGACTCAGCTATAGCATTATTTTATTTTAAAAAAAGCCGTGATACCTATTTAGAACTCTCAAAAATGGAAGAGATACCAACAAATGACAAGCATAGAATGATTGTAGGCGAAGGATATTTTGTAGAAAACATCAATCAATGTTCAGAAATGACCTCTGCAATTTGGCTCGTCTATTATTCTATTGCGACATATTATGCTAAAAAGAGAGATCGTGAACAAGCGTTCAATCATCTCCAAAAAGCAGAAGAAATACTTAATCAGTATCAAGGAAAAAAACAACCAATAATACAAAAGGATGTGTATTTTCTTATTGCATCCACCTATCAATTAATACAGTATTATGATCGAGCGATTTTCTATTACGAGAAACGTCTGCCATATATGCTAGATGATTATAACGAGTATGCTCATACTTGTTGGCTAATTGCTATTAATTATTATCGAAAAAAAGAATATTCAATGGCAATATCAAAATGTAAAATCGCATTGACGTTGTTACATAATTCAACGACCATTGATAATGAAAAAATAGCTGGCTGTTATCGTTATGCAGCAATGTCGTATGAACGATTAAAAAATTACGAATATTGTTTTATTTATTCCAAACAAGCAATCGAACATTTTCTATTGTGTGATTCAGTTGATTATAACTCTGTTATATCATTATGCGTTACTGGTGTAAACGCTCTATATTTTGCGAGACCATGGAATTGTGATGAGCCATTAAAGTATATCCTTACAGCAATGAACTTCAGTAGATATCCTTTAACACACAGTTCATTAAGAGCTCTTCACTCCTCAGTTGGTTTCTTCTATTATTTGAATGCAAACTATTGTAATGCTATTTTCCATTATAATCAAGCACTTGAATATTCCACAGAATCATATGACATTATTGATATTCATTATAAGCAGACGCTATGTTTTGCGGTAAGTGGACAGATAGATAAAGCGTATGATATTGTAAAAAAGAGAATCGATTATCTATTCAATTTGGAAAACCTCAATTTTATCGATATGTCCGACTCATATATTGACATGGGTCTTGTCTATAATCAACTTGGAAACTATAAGTTAGCTTTAATATGCTATCAATCAGCATTTTACATTCTCGAGAAGCATCAAGATGATAGAGCACATGATAATTATCGATGTATCTATAATAGCATTGCTAACATTTATCTCGAATACGGTCAAATAATTGATGCATTTCTATTTTGCTTAAAAGCTCGAAATATACGTGTCTCCAATACCAAAAAACAATCTTCACTTACATCCATCTATATTACGATGGGTTTGATCGAATGTAAACTTAAAAATTATTATAAAGCGTTAGATTATTTTGGACAAGCATGGGAATGTTTATTTAATGATAATATTCATTCTCTTTGTTTGCATCGAATCTTGTATAATCATATAGGGTATGTTTATTTTAAACTTGGTCAAACAGAAATAGCTATGAAGAATTATTTGAAATCGTTGTCCTTATACAGTGATTGCAGAATGCATCCGGAACTTGCACAAGTCTATAAAAATGTTGGTCTAATTTATGAACATGATGAAAAGATGTATTCTATTGCATTAGCGTACTATAGACGGGCTCTAGCGGTTCTTCCAAATAAGGAACACCCACATTACATTCTATACAAAAGTATGGTTAATACATTACAAAAGAAAATGTCCCTTTGGGAAAAATTGAAATCATTTATTTTCTCCTAGCTGAGAGTTTGAGACTGAATCAGAGTAAATCAATGAAAGAACAGACTGACCTGTATTCTTGTGAAAGAAACAGATCAATTCGTATTCGATGTCAAGTACAAAATCAATCTGCTGGTTCTCAACTCTCACTTTTCAGTGATCGATTTTCCCTCAAGCTTATTCTACTAACCTTATATTTGCTTTGCAGAAATGTTATGCAGAATTAGTTTTGCCGACGCGTTTTGTATCTTGTATTAACATGATTTTTCAAGGCATGCACAACAATAAAATTAAAACTCAGAATAAAATAAAATAAAATATGAAACATTAAATTCAAAGCAAGGAACTTTTGAAAATAGGAATCGAAATGAATTGGAAGCGTTCAAAGTCTGATATATATATATTTACTTAAGAGTTCTGTCGATCATATGCCAATTCTCACTGCAGATTTGTTGCATTTCTTGTTCCCGATATTGGTCTCACATCATTCAATGGAGAGTTACCAAAATATTTCTGCCACAATTGTTGGAATCCTTTCGGTAAATGACGCATTGATCGACAATAAGTAAAATGAATAAACATATTCGAATAGTAATCGATTGGTTGTCTGGCTATTTTTTCTGAAGACAAAATCATTTGAAGAATTCTATTGTAATTTTGAATGTCTAATGTTTTTGTTTCTTTCTTCGAAAATTTGTATATAGGCGAATCAAATTGTTCTTGAATAATTGCATTTGGATATTTGTTCAATAATAAAGCCATTCGAATAGATTCTCGTTCGTCTACAAATGATTGATATGCGTAAATTTGAAAGTAATGAATGGAGGGTGTGGGTGTTCCTTATTTGGAAGAACCGCTAGAGCCCGTCTATAGTACGCTAATGCAATAGAATACATCTTTTCATCATGTTCATAAATTAGACCAA